GTGAGTCCTTGGGTGATTGATCATCCCCTTCATTTTTGATATAAGGTTGTTGAAATTTAAAAAAGAAAACGGAATTTTCTCATTTTCATTGCAACTGCTTCAGATATTTTGTTAAATATTAAACAGTGTGAACATTGTGAATGTTGTTTTTATGCATTATATGGGCTTCTATCAAACAATGAACAAAATCTATCGCAGTTTTAGTAGTGTTTTTATAAGTTTATCAACCTGTATATGAAAAATTAAGTGTCGCAAAACTATTTAATAATAAAATGTAACATCTGTTGGTTACTTTTGTATAGGGCGGGACACCACCATATCTCCGAAACTATAGCGAATGGAGCCAAAAGTTAATTGAGTTATTACTAACCTTTAATTTATTTTAACTTGGTATATAGAGGGTGTTTACTTTTTCGTGAGCGAATGTCAACTTTCTTATTTTAAATAGAACACCTAGTAAATTACTTCATTCTTGAATTGTATTCAAAATTCTAGACATATTTTGTGTATAATGTCCTATACCTAAATCTAACCGTTTTTGAAAAGACGTTTGCAAATATCTGCTAGTTTCTTCATTCCGAAGCGTTTATTGTTTCACTTGAGTAAGTTGTATTGTAGACAAAGGACTGAAATAACGGATTTCATAAAAAATTTCAATATATAATTATACAGGGTACACGAAAAAAAAAATGAAATTAAAACAACTGCCAAAAAACTTTTTTTTTTAAATGGAAACTATCTATTTTTATAATCTTGTCATATTTAGCACTAAAAATTAAAGCAATTTTGTGTAATGTTACTTCTTGAAATATTTCCTTTTAAACACAAATAATTTGCGGTTGCCAGTTAGTGTAAGGTGGTTATGACGGCGCTTGAACAAAACAAGTGCTGAAGTGACCATAGTCGACCATAATCTTGCCAATGCGCTTATGAATTTATGAATGCATTATTTGTACAGAATAACACAAAGGATACGCAATAACGTTGGTGAATATTTTATTAATGAAAAATCAATAAAAAATTAATAGCTTACAAAGGGTAATAGTTATTGTAACAGTTGTTCAATATGTCCTCCACTTTGTACAAAGCACAAATATTAGGCATATACAACATTATACAATATTGCCTTCATTTTCAACGTTAAATATGATAAGATTATAAAAATTGGCAGTTTCCATTAAAAAAAGTTTTTTGGCATTTTTATAAATTTCATATTTAATCTTATTTTTCGCGTACCCTGTATTAACATGTATCGAAATTTCGAAATCTGTCATTGTCCTTGTCTACAACAAAAGTTACTCAAAAATGTCAAAAACGGTTAGATTTAGTTATAGGACATTAGACACAAAATGTGTCTATAATTTTCTATAGAATTCAAAAATGAAGTAATATACTAGGTGTTCTATTCACAATAAGAAAGCTGATATTCCCCCACGAAAAAGTAAACACCCTGTATATCCAACATTAAAATAAATTTAAGGTTTGTAGTACCCCAATTAACTTTTCGCTCCATCCCTTATAGTTTCTGAGATAAGGTAATGTCCTAAGAGAAACGGCCCACCCTATACATTTATTATTGATATTGTTAGCCCTATTATTGCTATTGTGGTCATTTATATGTTATTGCTGTAATGTTGATTTGTTGACATCATAGCACATGTTCTTAAGTAAAGGACCGTGCTAACCACATGAACTAGCAACTGTCGCGAATTGATTACATATCAATATAGTGGTCAGTATTGATTGATTGATACTTCGGTTAATATATGGCGCGAGTTCGTGAACTTGTACTTCATTTTGTAACTTGCTTTTCTGAATTTGCTTATTTATCGCTCGAAACTAGCAGAAAACTAAATCTACTCTACTGGCTTTCAGTTGTGGCAAGTGATTTTTAGAAATAGCGCCCCGATAGAAAAAACTGACCACCAGATAGACTTAAACGTGAATATTTTGTATTATTCGGTTCCGCTTAATTAATGGTATGTATGTACTATAAACTACCAATAGTGAAGCGTGACGTGACCATCAGAACTGCTGTCAAAATACAATCTAAATCTATGGAAAAATTCCGATCGCTTCCATAAAGTACAGGAAACATCCGAAGTGACTCGCCACAGTGGTTAAGGAAACTGACGTCTTGAATAATTGGGTATTTCATAGTAGGAGTAGAAAGAAATATCTTCAACGGCCGAGTTTTTTACTCTGTTTGCTTTCCTCTTCGCTCCTAGGGAATGCAAATTGTTTTAAAAAGGTCGTTATTTTCAGACATTCGATTCATTCAAATTCAATTATATTTCCAATCATTTCAAAATGTGTACGTTTGACGATCGTGGGCCTTTTGTTTTTTGTAAAAATTTGAATGTTCGACAAAATTGCTTTCTACGAAAATTTAATACGAACAAAGGAAAGGGCTCTCTGCCTCAACGACGTATTCGTATCAACAAAAATTAAGTTAAAAATACTCCAAACTGAACCGACGTTCTTTAAAGTTAATAATAACATTTTGTGTTGGTTCCTTTTTTGAATTACTTTTTCAAGAACTTAGAGAATATTACTTTTTAAGTAATGACTTCAAACAAATATTTACAATACGTCGAGCATGTAGGCAAGTATAAAGAAAAAGAAAATAATATTGATATTTTTATTTTTGAGATATTTCCACATTTATATTAAAACGTACCGATAACGGGTTAACATAAAACTAAATCCGTACCGTCATTATTGTTATTGGAATCAAAAGACAATGTATTTCATAGATTTAATTTTAGATTAAAATGTAAACGCACCACAAGTGCAAGCAGGGCAAAATAAGCAATTTAATTAAATTATGTAATCGAATATTGTAATTTATGCTGATCCATTAGTTGAAAATAATGATAACATTGTTTTTTGTCGATAATTTAAATATATCAAAAAGGGAAAATCCTATGTAAATAATTATTAATTTAATGTCGATTTTTTACTTCGGAGGTTTACGCATGTGAGCGTTCGTGAAAACATAGCAAATTTATAACATAACAGAAATATGCCACTGCTAAAATCCAGTGAATTGACAGAGGCTTACCCATAACTTTGTGCATAAATTCCAAGTTGTCAGGTTCCATTTTCCTCGTTTGTACAGTATAATAGAGGATTAAAACTAATAATTTATTGCCGTATTATTTCCATATTAACTTAATAATAATTAAGAGGGTTAGCATTTTGTAAAAATGGGCCCTAAAATAATTTTGTCGGCAAAACAAAAATTGTCTACTGTTTGCAGAGGTCTGGAAAAATTAAATATTAGAAAGGAATTTGGACAAATTCGACACGTGTAAGCTGCGTTATTGCAAAAATTTTTTCTTAATTGAATAATATTTATTATGTGGCAAATTACAGGCCAGCCGCTGAATTTCTTTCCAAATTTCAGCCAGACTGCAACGCAAACCCCGGCAGCGATCGAGTGTAACATTTAATTTTAACCACCTTAATTGAGGTTGAATATGTCTTTCTAATTGAAGAACGCTCCTGATGAGATTTGTAATATTAACTAGCCTGTGATTTATCGGTAGTATTATCATAAGCTGTCGCAAAGTTAAGCAAAGTAAAAAGTAATATTATTTTATCAATTTTTTGAGATGCAAATAAAACATTTTGTTTGTATGTTGCCAACAACAGCAAGTTAAAATTAAAATTAAATTTTTATTCGTCTGCAAAATAAACATTCAGTAGTATGAAAACAATTTTATAAATGACTTTTTAGTCACGAAAACGAGCGAGTATTTAATGGACGTGTTTTTCTACTCCCTTCTGTAAAATACCTCATTATATACCGATTCAGCGTGCAGAAAGCGTCACTTTACTACGTCAGTTTCGTTTCCCATGAATGCGAGCCACTTCGGACATTTCCGGGATTTTACCGCACGGATTTAGGAGCATTCGGATGTTTTCGGAGATATTTCCCACGCTTTGAATTTTGACGTTTGTCACTCCTGACAGTCATGTCAGTGAATGTATTCGTGTTGTTTTGAGAAAATGTACCCAAAAACTAACGGTCGTAGAAAAAGTATAATAAGCAACACTTTCGGTAAACTTTTTATATACTATACTATTACTGAGTGACATGTGGCATGACCGTCAGAAGCGAATCTCCGAAAACATCCGACTGCTCCCAAAGCCGCGCGTTAATATTCCGGAAATCTCCGAAGCCGCTCGCAGCCGTAGTTAAAATGTGTAAAATGTAAACGTAAAATGACACTTTTCCGCACGTTCAACCCTTGTATATTTGGTAAATTTAGAGGAGGAAGTAGAGAAACATTTTTGCCCATCAGATTTGAACGTTTATAATGCAATCCAGTTCTTTTTTATGCTTTGTAGCTGTAGAGGTTTTTGAATTATCATCAACCATTCCATCGCCATAATCAACTGCTTCCCAAGGTTCGTTTATTGTGACTGAAATTTTCTGAGCATTTCATAAATTGCCTTGACGGATCTCCCATACCCGTTTTGCCTTCCCAAGGTTTGTTTATTGTCCCGTCGGATCTCCTATACCCATTTTTGTAAACTAGTTCATCATGAAAAAATATGTATTTAATAGGTTCACGTTGATTAAAAATCATCTTTACAAAAAATATTTTCTAAAAAAATAGCGGCCCGTCGAAGCTGGGCGCTACCATACAGTAACACTGTCCCCATAGTCTATCACAGAATTAGTAACCTCCTTTTTATTATGTTTATGTATTGTTCCGCCACATTTCATATTTGAATCGAACAAGTGATCCTCCAAATACGCAAGATCGCAGAGCTACAGAGATCCGCACACGGCGGCGTAAGGGATGCTATCGTGAAGACGGCAACAGCGCGTCGCTCGAATCCAGATTCACCCCAAGCAATAATTTGTTAGTTTCGTGACCGACATCGGGCGGAAAACGACACCGCTCATTGCTTGTTGCGGTTGGGCCTACGCCGATCTTTGACGCGCGACGTTTCGTATCTGATTGATTGAAGGGGGAGAACCACGACACTGTGCAAGATTATGTGACTGTGTTACATTCGTGTTTTCCGATTTGGTGCTGTGCACACGTGTAATGGTTGATCCGTTTAAAGTCTTTTGGGTGTTAACCAACAGCACTTACTTAGGTAAATAATGTAACGGCGACAAAAATGGCCAAAGGAAGGCGATACCAACATTTCGAACCGAAATCGGATGGTGGTTACATAAAATCTAATGAAATACAATAATTAACAAATAATAAATAAAATTAATGTGAAATAAAATGTTTTCGCCGAATTTATATTATGTTACTTTTTTTTGATAATGACGCAATAAAATATTTTTTGCCAGTTTCAGAAAATGAACACATTTTCATAGTTTTAAAAGCCACTTTTGACGATAGATCATTTTTCGTTTTATGTACATAGGTGCTATAAAGCGTTCAGAATTCAATTCATTTTTATACTTCTATAAGACCGTGGTAATTGGCAAACTATTTACATATGAAAATTTAAATTGATTATCTTTTTTTGATTTTGATTTTACCTATAAAATTTTTTAAATATGTATTGTATTATTATACATTTGAAAAGTTCCACAATGGCGTCAAAAGAATATGATTACCCCGCAAAAGCAATTTCGAAAAATATTTAACTCGTGTTCACCGTGCTTAAAAATAAATTTAGTAGCGAAAACAGCAAATCCTATTGTTTTTTTTTTACATTAAATTGATCTTGATCTTGATTGAATCGTGAGACATTTTTAATTATTGTTTCGTATTTAAACATTCCTTCTTTAAATATAAAAATCGAAAATTTCTATCCAAAAAATGTGATTGATTTTGCTTTTAAAAAATCTGTTTCATGTGTTTAGACTTTCAGTTTCGTGTGTGCACAACAAAACTTATTTAGTTAATTAGTCATTATTTAGTAATAGTAGTTTTCCGAAAGCTGGATGAATATTACATTTTGTTGTTAAAAATAATTAACATTAAAAGTTTTTGCGTCACTCAAAAATTCACATTTAAATTTTTAATCGTCTCCATTTGCCGACTTCCGAAAATTTGTATCATCAATTAGCACTAGTCCAAAAATACCTCGAAAATTACTTTAAAATATAAAAATCTATATTAAAGTTCTTGAAAAAAATCGTTTTCACTGCGTGTTTAGTAATTTTATAATATTCGACATATTAAAAAGAGCAAAAAAAAATTAAAATGTTTTACAACGTTTTAATATCATTTTCTAGAAATTAAAAAGTTTGAAGCAATGTAGTACCATTAAAAAAACATCAATCCATCAAAATATAAAATTGTTTCAAATTTGTTGAGCTTCTGAAACTTTCGTATATTTATAACCGGTACATTATCGACATAACCTACTGTTAAATCTTTTTGTTTCATTCTCCACGGCGTTGGAACTTATTATTGTAGAATGGCTTTACGATTTGAAAAATACCATCTGACGTAGGTAATCAAATATAAATAATTTGATATTCAATTGACAATTTTATGATTAAATATTTAAACCAGGGCCGACCGTTATAGAATTTTGTTCAGGACCTCGGTATAAAACGGTCGACAAAATTTTACAAACCCGGATATTGTCAAACATCGTTAACATTGCTTATTGTTTGCTTGGTTTAATATTTGCCAGGTGTTAATAGGTTAATTATTATAAAAAAGCACCATAATACTGCGGGAGGTTGGAATTATTAAAACCTTCCTGAAGAATATTAAATATCCACGACTCAAGTCAACGAGCAGAAACACTTTAAAACATCACACGAATTGTTTTTGGCAAAAGAACCATTAGATAATTCACCAAGGTTAAAAATTTGGCGATTCGTGAAATTTTATGTCTCTCTGTTTGCATTAACCCAAATAATCCATATTCCTAGTCGGCAGTGGTTAAAAAAAATCGGTAGATAGTATAAAATAGTAACTGTAGCTGCACAGAAACGCCAGTAAATTTGTGGTGTCTGTATTTCGTAGATAGAACCAAAAATATATTTATGTTAATGATAAAAGCATGAGTCGATATTTGACAATTTTAAGGGGCCTTAATTTCTCCTAACCGACGTCGGTTGCGTACGATGCAGACTGCAGTAATGTGAAACTTGAACGAAGCTAGCGAATATTGTACTTTATTTGAATTGCAACCTAAAGATTAGAAAACATGCGTATTTTAACATGTCAGCTGTAATAATTACCTTTCAAAATTAAATATAAAACAAACTTATTGATTTTTTTTTCATTAATATTATTACTCATTGTTTAAATTTTATTATCTGCCAGTGTCAATTTCTGCCAGGTATCTATTCTTTTTCACATTTTGCATTTTTTTAGCGTCAAAACCCGCTTTTAGAATTTTATTAGCAACAAGATTAGAATATTGTAATGTAGCATCAATGCTTGGCCGAAATAAGTTACAGTAATTTAGTAAAGAATTTTTTGAAGATTCTGAAGATATTTTAAATATATCCAAAACTATCTAGTCGTAATCGAGATAAATCTCGGTGAAACCCTTGTTAATTTTGGTTATATAATTTGTTTATAAATGCTGCGCGGGGATAGGAAAATATGTTGCCAGGGGTTTGAATGTCGGAGAATAAATTAGGGACTTGGTCTTGACACCGCCTCATGTTGCTCCGCTTTGATCTAAGGATTCAAAGCAAAACTGTTAATGTCGCCGTTTGGGAGGGCAGAAGCTTCAACAACACGTCTTCGAACTACGGAAGTATGAGATGTATAGTGTACGGTGAAAGTAATAAGTTCCAAGCAATTTCCAATGTCAATCTGGCTGTGAGAGCAATATGCAATTAATGTCAACGGGTTTTCTCATTAATGCCATATAGAGCACAATTTTGCTTCAAGTTTTGTTTTCAAGGAGCAATAATTCACTTCAAGAGTAGCCTTTGATTTGGACTCAGAACATTTTTCTTAGTTCTATATTTTAGCAGACTTTGAAAACAATAATTTAGGTAAAAAAATGTATCTTAGGTTAGAGATACTACCAAACACTAGTAGAGTCTAATGTTGGTCTTCTAAATATATATCAGTTAATTAACCTTTATACTTAAGTTATGTTCACATCGGCACACCTGTACCTATAACATTCAAGAGTCCACAGCAGTGCCTCGCATTAATCTCAATAATTGAATGTTGTTGCAACATAAATCTCTTTAATTCTAGTTTCTAAAGATAATACATGTTTAACGCTTCTGCCACCTTTATGAAAATTTTAAGTAAGACCCTCAACGGTTCTCACATGAAAACGTCATTTATAAGTTTTTCGTTATCCATTTCTACTATAGTGTCCAATGAACCAGACTCGATAAAATACCAAGTAATTCTGAAATTGAAATTGATAACGTTAGCTTCGATTAAAAATTCTAATCTCTCAATCAGGATGTGGGATTTTCGCTTGGAGCAAACTCTAGAAATCACATAAATTAATCTGTGACATTCTTTTTTAATAATGGTGGTAAACGGCAAAAAAAATACCAACCGTGTTTTTGAGTACATTTTTGCACAACAACACGAAAATATTCACTGACTTGACCATCAGAATTGACAACGTCAAAATTCAAGCTGTGGGGTAACATATCCGAAAACCGAAGTGACTCGGCACGTCCCGTATGCTAGATCGGTGCATAATTGTGCATTTTACAGAAAGGAGTATAAAAAAACGTTCTTGTAACTCAAGAGAAATCTTGAAGTCCGAAGAAAAGCATACAGGAATAAATTGTCGTCATTAAAATAAAGAAAAACATGATTGAAATGTTATTGCTTAAATAAAACTGTTGTTAACGTATCGATCGAAAATATTCTCATTGTACTGAGAACAGGGCGGCTCGTTAGCATTATTGTGCCAACACGCAAATTCAAAATTCTTTAACACAATATCGATGCAGGCTCGCGCGTATGAATAAACTATTATATTGGAGATATATCAGGTCGTTACGTAGCTATCCACCTATATCTACGCGAAACATTGAGCTACTGTAATCATATTTACTGGCAATAATTGTTGATGCATTATTTTGGGGCCATTATGGCAGCGATAAGCACGCAAATGGCCAAAACACCACCAAATTTCAAAATAATCGAATTATGCACACCCGTCGCTATCTATCGATAATGGCCTGACATTAAAACTTTACTTTTAGTCGGTTATGCGACCTACTGCACTTGAGTTTACCGTCAACAGCTTTTGTGGCTTTTAACCTTTTATGTTTTTGCATTAGTGTGTTCGTCGTGATGTGATATTAGTATTCTTTTGAATCCTAGCATGACAGTATTTCATTCAGCTGGTGCAATTTCGTTGCTTAATATTCTGGTCACGTTCTAATTTTATTTGTTCGTAATATTTTAGTAATTTTCAGATGGTCATCATTCGAATTGTCAGTAAAATAAAAAAGTGCTATTACTGCAAACAATTATATAATAAAGTCACTTTTTCTACTCCCGCCTGTAAAATGCCTTTAATTTTGACGTTTGTCAGTTCTGACGGTCATGTCAGTGAATGTATTTGTGTTGTTTTACCAAAATGCACCCAAAAACTAACGGTCGTAGAAAAAGTATAGTATGAAACACGTTTGGTAAACTTTTTAAGTCACTCGTTTATTAAACACTCGCTCCGCTTGTGCCAAATAAACTCGTGAGTCAAATGTCGTTTACCGCACTTGTTGCATAATATACTAATTATGCATGAATGTGAAACAACTAGCAACAGAAATTTTAATTAGCCACCGTCAAATGTCAAGGCATTGCATTTCCCGAGGTGAAATTTTAGCTTAAGAAATGTGTGTCAAGTGTCGCACAGGTTCCAAGTGTTTTTTCTATACTTCCCCTCCACATTTTCTCGGTTATGGCTTTTAAAAACTTGATAATTTCTAGTGTAGTATTATTAGTGTGCGTGGTTAAATGTAAAAAATTTTAATAAATATGTAGCTTAGGCCTCTTTGCTTCTATTTTTTTCAGGAAAAATGTTTTTCCTACTGTGAATCTATTCGTACTGTTTTACAGATATGCACCCAAAAAGTAATGATTGTAGAAAAGGTGCGATTAATTTCTTCATTTGTTGCATAATATAATATTCTTTATAAGTACGAAAGAGTTTTTTGATAGTAAACAAACGAAAAA